AATAATAATAATAATAAAACACCTGCTGGAGGATCAGCCATGAGCCACTTCCAACTCGGTGGCACCCAATAATAAAAACGTGATTAGTAGTGGATACCTCAGCACCATATTGCCTTAGCCCCAGCTTGTGGATGTTGGTCAGTTGATTTTAAGATCACCAAAATATTTTCTAGTCTACTAAACAAACAAAATGCACACTTGGGTAGTTTCCTCACATCCATTGAGAGTCTTCACTTGCCCCCTTCAGTAGTCTTTTCTAACTTCTGCTCATAAATTCCCTTGGAAATACAAGCTGTTAGAAGAAAAGTAGTTCAGAATTTATTATCTCAAGCTTGTCCTGTGATAAATGGTCCATTTATGTTTCAGTGGTTTAGGAGACAGCATATTTTATTAACTTCCTTCAGGGTAAAGACAGCTAACACTGAATACTATTGGCTTACTGCTAATTTTTTCCCCCTTTTGTTTTTCTTTTCTCTTAGATTGTGTTACCTCCTCACCTGGAGAGGATACGAGAAAAACTTGCAGAGAATATCCACGAACTCTGGGTTGTGAATAAGATTGAACTTGGCTGGCAGTATGGTCCGGTATATCATCCTCAAATTTATTTTCAGATTCTTTTTAGCACAGCTTTGTGAAAACTCAGCTTTTCTCATTTATTCCACTGTGCACTGGCAAGAAATGATTGGATTGATTTTTTTCCCCTCTACACTTTAGTCCTTGTGTAATTTTTCTTTCCTGGGGAGAATGGCTTACTGAAAAAGTCCAATAAGAATTATCTAGATAATTTAAAGTTATCAATTTCTGGTCTGCACATCATAATTTCAAGTCATGTTGAACCTAGTCAGATAATAGACATTGATTTCTGAGTTACTTGAAAAGGATCTCATGGATATCAAAAGTGAAAACTGAAAATGGTGTCGAGTAGTTGATTTTCTGTTCCGGCTTTTAGCCCAATCCCTTGTTCCTACCTTCAGGTCCTGGGGACAGTTGATCCCACAGGTGGAGGAAAGGTTTAGAAGTCATGATTGAATATGTTTTCAGATGATTATTTGTTAAAGATTTCTGATTATGACTTGTCACTATATAATTTATTAAAAACAACAACCACTTTACTACTCATGTTTCATCTAAATGGTTTTGGCAAGAACCACAGTTGTTAGTTATTGTTTTGTACAATCACATTGAGTCTAACTCATAGCTGACCCTCCTTGTAGGTTTTCAGAGGCAGTTAATCACACGGGAGGAGATTATCCATCTTTCTCCCCTGGATGGATTAGAACCTTGTGCTTTGGGCTAGAAGTCCAATTCCTTACCAATAAGCCACCAGAGCTGTCTTGAATTATACTAGCATGCTCTTTTTTTTTTCATTCCTTTTGTTTCATGATTCCGGTTGTTCCAAATCCAAAAGCTTATAGGACTTACTGTGCTTCACTGAAAAATAAACACTTTTAAATTTATCCAGTAGTCAATTGCATTGGGCTTTTGCTTAAGAACATTTTGTAATTTGTGTTAACAGTTACACTGTATTACATGCCACACATCCCAGTGTTACTCAGCTATTCATTTCATCATTTGCATTCTCACAAGGAGCCCTGTTGGTGCTGTTGTTAAAGAATACAACTATTAACCAAGAGTATGTATATTAAAAATGAGTGGTTCGAATCCACCAGTCGCTGATGGGAGAAAGATTAAATAATCTGCTTCTGTAGTGATTATAGTCTCTTAACATATTGCTACACACTTTTAAATTGACGACCATGCTTAGAAACACACTCCCCCCCCCCGCCCCCCGATGTATTACCGTCATCTGCGGCATGTTAAGCACTATGGGGCTGTTCTACTCTGTCTTCCCGGATCACTATGAGCCAGAATTGATTCAATGGCAGTGGCTCTGGTGTTTTGCTTGCACTTGTCCCTGCACTCTTGTATACAGTGAGTTAGGTTACATCTTCATTACAGCAGCTGTCATTTTTTTCTTTTACACTGGGATGATATGGAGAATGCTCGTAGAGTCAACCTATGCCTTAACTGAGGTCAGCTATTAAGTGACAAACCTAGGACTGGAATTTTACTGTCCTGACTTCTAGTACCAGAAAACTAGTTGCCCTCATGGTGAACATGTGTCTTCCAAATAGAACTGCCTTCCACGGGGTTTCCACCACTGTGGCCTCCCTTCTATCTAGGATGTGGCCTCTGGACACATACTAACAGCTGAACTCTTGGCTAGTAGCTGAGTCCTTAAATGTTTGCTCCTCCCAGCAATTCCTCCACTTCACTATGAGATGTGAGAAATTGTCAGGTGATTGTTGATCTGTGATCAGAAGTAGTATCTTTTCATGAGTTAACTAATGATTAGTCATTTATCAGATTGTGGTTTCTGCTGTGTACTATTGAGTTGGGGCTGACCCGTAGCTAACCCCTGAGTGGGTTTTCAGAGACAGCAAATCGCACAGATGTTGATTTTCTTTCTCCCGTGGAGCAGCTGGTGGGTTTGAACCACATGCCTTTGGGTTGACAGCACAATTCTTTATCACTATGTCACCAGTGCTTCCATTTACAAGATTACTAGTTAAGTGTCAGATTACTAGATACTTATTAAATATCCAGCTGTGTATTCATTGACAGTTAAAACTTGAGGCAATGTGAGGTTGTTAAAGACATGATTTGTATATTAAAGTCAGGCAGAAGAGAAAGATTATAAATGCATACAGAGTTAAGTGCAAGAGGAATTAAAGGCAAAATTCTCCATAGGTTCCAAGATAAGTGAAAGAGAATGATAGGCTGGAGAGAAAGAAAAGGATGGATGCCAACCTTACACTCTGTTATTCTAGACTACTTCAGGCACAGGGAGCTCTGGTGGCCTAGTTGATAAGGAGTTGCACTGCCAACCCAAACCCAGTTTCTCTATGGGACAAAGATGGGTATTTTCCTCCCGTGCAGTTTACAGCCTTCGAAAACCCTCTGGAAGGTCAGCTAAGAGTTAGTTCTGCCTTGACAGCACACAACAACAACAACAACAAACTGGTGCTGCCCAGCCAGTTCCAACTCACAGTAACCCCTGAATGTATGAGTAGAAATGTGTGATTTGGGGTTTTCATTGGCTGATTTCAAAGGCTGTAAATTTCAAGAGAGGAGATTGTCCATCTTTCTCCAGCCTTTTTTTTTTCAAGGAAGCAACTCAAACTTCCATTCTTTCCACTAGCAACTGATAGAGTTAATGATTTGCACTCTAGTATTACAATAAATATGATCAAAAGGTAATAACAAAATAAAAATGAGATTAAAAAGTTAAATGGCATTTAAGGGTTATCATTGGACCAAAAGAAGGGTAGATAGACGAGGCAAGCCTTGTTATGAAATAAGATTTAAACCAATGCTGGAAGGGCCTGAGAGATTGAACCACTTGGTTTTCTGGGGCAGGAGATTGTATACGAGGAGGTTTATGCACCTGGGAGGTGAATGAACTGTGTCACATGGTGAACAGACACAGGTAAAAATAGGTCCTGCCAGTGTATACCACTCCCTTCAAATATTGCCTGTTCCTGTCAGATGACAGAGGTCTGTCTGGGGTGGTGGTTGGTTTCTGTTCTCCCTTCACCTCTACTTTCACCTCCCCTTGAGTCATTCAGTTGGGTTCCCTTTTAGACTGTTCCATTTACATGCCTGTTTTCGGTCTGGTCTCAGGTTAGAGATGACAACAAGAGACAGCACCCCTGCCTGGTGGAGTTCTCCAAACTCCCAGAGCAAGAACGCAATTACAACCTGCAGATGTCCCTGGAGACCCTCAAGTGAGTTGAACTTTCTTCTCTCTCGCTAATTTACCTTATCTGGAAGTAATAAGGTACTGATGCTGTTACTTTAATTCAGCTGCAAACTATTTTAATTATAGCTCATTGTTGTGGTTGTTACATGCTTTCAAGTTGGAACCAACTCATAGTTGACCATTTGCTGGTTTTCAGAGGCTATAAATCTCATAGGAGGAGATTGTCTATCTTTCTCCATCATAGTAGTCGGTGGAGGTGAACCTCATGTCTTTGTGTTTGCAGCATAACTCCTTACCCTCAAACTTTTTAAATTGTGTCTGATCCAGACAATGATCTTTTCAATCACTTGATATTCACCTGAGAGTTGGACAATGACTAAAATGGCAGAAAAAGAATGACTTTGAATTATGGTGTTGGAGAAGAGTCCTGAATATCTCATCTGCCAAAAGAGCAAACAGATATGTCTTAGAGAAAGTGCAGCCAGAGTGTTTCTTAGAGGCAAAGATGATGCAGCTTTGTCTCACATGCTTTGGGCATGTTACTAGCAAAGGTTATTCTTTGGAGAGGGATGTCATGCTTGGAAAGTAGAAGGATGACAAAGGAGAGAAAGACTCAACTAGGTGGAATGGCCCAGTGATTGCAGGAATGATGTCAGAGATTGTGAGGATGTCACTGGGTAGGTCAGGGTTCCAATCTGTTGATCGTTGGGTCACTATGAGTCATACTTGACGGCACCTACATCATCAACAGTATCAGACTGGGATAAGTATCTGTTGGGAATTAGATGTAGATGTGACTTGTTGTTAAATGTCGTGATGCTCTGGTCAAGATTTACAAGGGTGCTCTGCAGGAGTTGGTGGGGATTGCTCAGGAAGAGGGCTGAAGCACACACTGGACCAGTTACAGAGAGTTTGTTTGTAGGATTTGTAGGAGACTTTAATGTAGAGAAATTCAGAGTGTGTTTAGAAGCTTGCATGCAACATTACTTCTATCTCTTTTCTATCCTTGCTAAGTTTGGTCATATATTCTCATGTGTGTTTTGTTAAGTATGAAACATGCCTTTTTCCCTTTTTTGTTTGTTTCCATTTTGAATGGAGAATGAAGACTTGTTTTCATTGTTATAAGCAGCCCAGGACCTGAAAAGAAAAAGTCTTTCAGATTACAGGATTCCAGTTTAAAGATGTAGTATTAATTAAAACCGAGAAACGCATTGGGCACAGAGTGAGTTCTGTAACTTTGTAGAGTCCCTGGTTTGTGTAGACAGTTGGCCCTTCAGATATACCCAGATGTACCTGAGAAGAAAGGCCAGGTGATATGTTTATGGTTTGGAAACTATGGAGCATGGTTTTACTCAGATAAACAAGGGGTTTCCAGTTCAGAACTGAATTGAACACAACAGTTTATTTGGTTTGGGTTTTTTTAGGTTTGGTGTGTTTTTTTTTTTAAGTAACTTCCTGATAACAAATACGGGGGGGGGGAACAACCCAACCCCAATCAGCTAATTCTAGTTGCCATGGTTTTGTTGTTGGGAACCATTGGGTCCAGTATGACTTAGGAACCCTGTGTTATTCTTACCATCTCTGGGATGCTTAAGCCCTTAGTGAGCGTCTTTATGTCTGTCTGTCTTGTTAAAGGTATTTCTTTATCTGATACTCCACCTTTCACAGCACAAGGTCATTTTCTAAGGACTGACCCTCCTGACAGTGTTCCTAGTGTATGTGACATGAAGTTTTGCCATTCGTGCCTCTCAGAAGCACCCTAGTTGTACTTCCTCTAAGATAAACTCATTATCCTTGCAGTTCATGGGATAGTCATTACTCTTCAGTAACACACCCAAAGGCATCAAACTTTCATTCATTATTATTCATTGATCAGTTTTCAAATGTTGCCCAAACCCACAGCAATCCCAAAGGTCTAGCTAGAATTGTGCTCCAAAGGCTTTTTAACAGCTGTTTTTTTACATGTTCGTTGACAAGCCTCTTCTCCAAGGTGTCTCTGGGTGGCTCACACTACGAGAGTTAGTGTATGCAGCTGTCAAGTAGATTCAGACTTCTTGGTTCTAAGTGTGTAAATCTGTCTCATTTGCTTTTTATTGGGGGGAGGGGTTGTTTAGGGTTTTTTCGTGATAGATATTTCTCTTTTTTTTAAATGAAAGTTTACAGAGACTTTGGATTTCCATTCATTCATTGTTGCACACTTTACTTCCTTCCCACCCATCTCCCCCAGTTTGCTTTTATCTTTGAAAAGTAAAAAAAAAAAAAAAAATTTAAAAAAATTATTTCATTGTTATACAATCCCCCCTCCCAGTCCACTCCACTATGCAGCTTTCATTCTGGACTCTTGCAATACCTCATAATATATTCCTCCTAAATAGTTCTCTCCCTCAACTGTTTCAGTGCAGTGGCACTATGCAGTTTTTGTCCTTTTGCGACTGAGATACTTCACTCAGCATAATGTCTTCCAGGATCACACATTTTGTGTAATATTTTGTGAGTTCCTTGCTTTCAAAGCAGCATAGTATCCCGTTGTTTGAATAAACCAAAGCTTCTCTAGCCATTCATTTGTTGATGGGCACTTGGGTTGTTTCCAGCTCTTTGCTATTGTGAACAAAGCCACTATAAACACCTCACTCCATTCACAAAAAACAACTCAAAGTGGATAAAGGACCTAGGACTAAAAACAAGGACTATAAACTTCATTAGAGAAAAGCTTGGAAGAACTCTAGAAGCCCTAATCCACAATATAAACAGTCTTCCAAGCATTCTGAAAAACCTACAACCAAGACATGATAAATTAATGGGACCTTCTAAGAATAAATTCCTGTGCACATCCAAAAACCTCCCCAACAGGGTAAAAAGAGAAGACACAGACTAGGAAAAAATATTTGGTAATGACATGTCTGATAAGGAACTTATATCTAGAATTTATAAAATACTCGAGCACAACAAGATAAAGGAAAACAGCCCAATTAAAAAATGGGCACAGAATACGAACAGGCCCTTCACCAAAGAAGACATTCAGATGGTGAAAAAAACACATGAAGAAATGTTCAAAATCTCTAGCTCTAAGAGAGATGCAAATCAAACTACTATGAGATAAATTTAACAGAACAGCAAACAACAAATGCTTGCAAGGTTGCATAGAAGCTGGAACCCTTATTCACTGTTGGTAGAGTGTGAAATGATGCAACCACTATGGAAGGCAGTATGGCGCTTTCTCAAAAAGTTGCAAATAGAAATACCATTTGATTTTGTACCAATGAGGGAGTTTTTCTTTTGCTTTTCAAGGAGAGGAGCAAAGGGGGGGCGGGGTTGTGCTGGGAGAAGGGTGCAACAATGAATGAATGGAATCCCAAAATCTCTGTAGATGTTCATTGAAATGAAAAATAAACAACCTAAATTTAAAAAAAAAAAAAGAAATACCATTTGACTCAGCAATTTCACTACTGGGAATATACCCTAAAGAAACCAGAACTACCACCCACGCAGATACATGCACATCTATGTTTATTGTGACTTTGTTCACAATAGATATTTCTCTTTTTAAAAAGAAGAAATTGTCTTTTTTTTTGGTGGATTTCCTATTTGGGAATAGGACTACAGACTCTCTGACTGCTTCATGCTGAACAGGGGCATTGAGATGAAGGAGAAGGGGAGCCAACTTTACTGGTGGTCTTGAGTTGAAGCTGCATGCCTTCTTGTTCAGTTAGAAGATATTTTCATGATATTTTCTGCACTCTAGGTGCAGGTATTTACATGGGTGGGTTCAATGGGAGTGTCTGGCTAAACTTTGAGGCTCCATCCACCTTTGTTTCCTTAGCTGGCAATTTTAGTCTCTGGAACCAGGCTCAGGGTTCTGATTACCTATAGGAAAGGGAGCAAACCTAGAAAAAACAAACTTGTGAATTACAAAGAAAAGGAAATTGGAAGTGTTACTTACAGGCCTACTGGAGGAGGAGATAGCGGAAAGTGGCTTTGATAAAGTTCCTCATATATACCAGGCAGCTCTCCTGAGGGGTTGATCAGCTCTCCCCTGCAAGGGAGCTCCTGCCTGCCAGATGCCTGTCCCCTGCCAGGTGCCTCTCTCCTGCCAGGTGACTCTCCCCTGCCAGGTGACTCTCCCCTGGCAGGCGACTCTTCCCAGGAACCTGGTGGCTCTCTCCGGGGTGTGGGTGGGGGTGGGGAGGTGGCTCCCCTCAGGGGCTGAGTGGCTCTACCTAAGGGCCTAGCATCCATTCTCCGCCAGGCTGCTCTCCCCAGGGGCCAAATAGCTCTCTCCACTCAAGGCTCTTTTAAGGTTCAGACCTTGAGCCTTACCAGAGACTGCAGCTGGGGACAGCACTTCAGGCTCCAGTGCCGCCATCATTGCCCCTTCCTCTCCACCAAGTGGTCTAATTGTAATTATGACTTTACCCGTCCACAAATGAAGAAGGAGCTTCCAGAGTGGTAAACAAACTAGCTCAAGATTGAAAAAATAATAAAGGAAGTAGAACAAGAACTCAAACTAAGGTTGTTTGAAGGCCAGTTGTGAGGGGGCTAGCTTCACGTGGCACTCAGGTTGGCCATATTTTGTCTTTCTCTGCAAGCAAAATATTTTAAAAACGGCTAGAAGAGAATATTCAGGCTCTGCATGTCTTCCACTCTGTGGCCTGTTTGTTTTTTTGTCAGGTGAATAGTTGAGTTCACCTGCCTAGGAGCCCAGCACTTATTGTATTGTGCCACCAGTGCTCCTTTGTGAGCCAAATTTAACACTTGATATATTTTAGGAAACACATTCTGGGTAATTGAGTGTATTGGATAGCTACTAATGATGCAGTGACAGATTTGTCTGGGATAAAGGATGCAGAAAGTGCAAGTTAAAACTACAATAAAATACTCCTTTCAGTCTATCAATTAACACAGGTCAAAAAATTTGACCATGATTTTAGAGAAAGTATGAGGAAATAGTCTGTGATATACATCAATTCCTCAGTCATTGCCACTGATTTAGTACTGACACATAGTTATCCCTCCAGCAGGTTGGCAGGTTTCCAAGGCTGTAAATTGAAATAGGAGAAGACTGCCACTCTTTCCCTTGGGGCCACAGGTGGATGTAACTGCTGGAGAACCTAACCTTTCTAGTTAGCACACCATTCCCTATGGACTAGGCCACCAGACCTTCCTTGCATTTCTGTGGGAATGTAAATTATTGCCAACTCATAGAGACATTTGGCAATATTTGTTAATTTTTAGCATGCATATTACCCTCTGAGTTGGTAATTGAACATCTAGGGATTTATCAGGAGCTCTGGTGATGTAGAAGTAGGGCATTGTGGTGTTAACCCAGAAACCACACCTCTCTGGCCATTTAAATCTACCAGCAGTTCAGAGGGAGAAAGATGAGCAATCTCTTCTCAATAGATTTACAGCCTCAGCAATGGATTTTTTGAGATTAATTTATCATGAGTATTTGGAGTGCTCTTTGGAGGCAAGAATGATGAGGCTTTGCCCCTCATACTTTTGGCATCTTCCCAGAAGGGGCTATTCCTTGGAGAGAGACATGATGCTGGTAAAGGTGGAGGGTCTACAAAGAGAGGAAGACCTTCAAACAGGTATATTGATATGGTGACTGACACAACGGGCTCTTGTGTGTCAGGAAGTGTGGGGATAGCTCAGGATAGAACAAGGTTAGCTCTTTTGATCATTGGGTTGCTTTGAGCCATACTAGACTTGAAAGTACCTAATGTTTATTGCACAATTATTAGTAGATGCTCTTGAGCTGACTATGAGTGACAAAGACCCTATGAATCTGACTCTTACCCTATGATCTGACCCTTACCCTATCCTGTGCCATCCTCATCATCTCTGAGATACTTGAGCATGTTGGGAGGCTCACTGTGTTAGTTCACCTTATTGAGGGTCTTCCTTTCTTTCTCTGAGCCTCCATCTTTGCAAGAACGTTCTATTTTTCCAAGGACTGGTGCTTCCTAATAGCATACCCCAGGTTTGTGAGGCACAGTTTCATTGTCCTTGTTTCTGATTGTCTGCAAATAACAAAGACTAGCATGGAGAGATTACAAACATCCTAAGACACTTCAGAACAATTTTTTTAAAGAGAATGAATAATATAAAAGTTATAAAATAAAAATTGAAAATTATAAACAATATCTCATGTATATACTCATTTGAGTGAAAAGAAAAATTAAGTGAACAAGTAAAAAAGAGTGTGTGCGTGTGTGTGTGTATACATGTGTATGCACACACACATAAAACAGACTTAAGCTTATGTATAATTGCTCTTTCTACAGAGAGAAGTACAAGGAAATGATAGCAATTGATGCCTTTAGGGGGGGAAAAAACCCTGGGATCTAGACTTACTCAGTATAGGGTTGTTTTGTTTGTTTTTTCTTTCCGTTATTAATGTCTTATGCTTTATTGCCAGGTAAAAATTAGTTGCTACGTACCATTGAGTTAGAAGCAACCCATAGCTGACCCTCCAAAAGGTTTTCAGAGCAGTTAATTGCATGGAAAGAGATTGCCTGTCCTTCTTACACAAAGCAACTGATGGATTCGAACTGCGTGCCTTTGGGCTTGCAGAGAAGCTTCTTGCCACTAGGGCACCTGAGCTCTGTTAATATTTATAATAACTAAATATTATATTCACGGGAGAAGGATGGGCAATCTCCACCTCTGAAAACCCAATGGAGAATCAGATGTGGGTCAGTTCCGACTCTACAGTGTACAACAAAAACAACACATACATTAATAAAAGAAATTTCCTTTATTTCTTTAAAAAATTATCTCTGCTTTCAAGATAAGGTGTTAAGATTTATAGTTTATCATTGTAAGATGGAGTAATTCTGAACGTGTGGAATAAATGAATGTGACACCCCTCTGGTTCTGTTTCCTAGGACTTTATTGGCTTTGGGATGCCACGTGGGCATATCGGATGAACATGCTGATGAAAAAGTGAAGAAAATGAAACTACCCAAGAAGTAAGTTGAATGTTTAAGCAAGATTAGGCTGGATTTGCCCTTGGTTTTGATTGTTTGGTTGATTGGTTGGTTTTGTTTTTTTACAAGTTAATATTTTTCAAATTATTATTTTATACTGGTTTATTTACGAAGTTCATATGTATTGTTTTTCACACTGGATCTTTCTTATTTTCCTCACCACCCCCCATCAAATTGTGCAACCCTATGATTAACACTCCTCCCTGACACCCGCCTATCCTCACCCCTCTGCTCCCACCATCCCTACCCTTGTTCTACAGTATGATCTTTTTTTTTTTTTTTTACAGTATGATCTTAAAGAGTATTTGTCCTTATGGGACTGAGTTAGTTCACTTAGCAAAATGCTCTTCAGTTACTCCCACATTAGGTAGTAATTTACAAAATTATTGCTCCTGCGAGCTGCATAATACTTCATTGCGTGAATGTACCATGACTGTTTCATGTTCTTGCAATGGTGAATAACACTGCTATGAACATTATATGAGAGTGCCTATCTTGCTACATCCTCTCCAACATTTATTACCTGCTGTCCTGTTAAATTTTGCCATTGCTACTGGAGTGAGATGGTATCTCATTGTGGTTTTGATTTTCATCTCTCTTATTGCCAGTAATTTTGAGCATTTCTTCATGTGTCCCTTGGACATCTTTTTCTTTAAAATTTCTTTCTATATTTTTTGCCTATTTTTAAATTGTATTCTCAGTCTTTTCCTTGTGGAGGCCCTATATGATTCTGTAAACTTTTGATATGAGATCCTTATCTGAAATGATATTGCCAATTTCCCCCTCCCCAGTTTGTTTTCTTTTCACTCTGTTAGAAAAGTGTTTTGATGTACACAAGGATTTATTCTTTAGAAGGTCCCATTCATCAATTTTATCTCTCCAGACGGTGGGTTTTTTTAATGTATTCACTTTTTTTTTATTTTAATGAAAGTTTACAGACTTTGGATTTCCATTCATACATTGTTGCACACTTTCCTCACTACCTACCCCTCCTCCCAGTTACCTCTTCTCCTTGAAGAGAAAAAAAAATTCTTTCATTGTTCTACAACTCTTTCCCCCGTCTCTTCCCCAAGTCCCCTTTACTATGCAGCTCTTACTCTGGACTCTTGTCATGAAAATAATACCTAATCATATATTCCTTTTAAACAGTTCACTCTCATCTGTTTCAAAATTGTCCAGATTGTGTTTTTATTGCTGTATTTGGCAATCTCTATATACCATAGCTTAGATATCTTGTTGCTAAGTTGATGTTATAAAATTCGGGTTCAAAAGTGGAAGTTGCTGAACTGTATTAGAAGCCCCCTCAAGTCTATGGCAGTTCACCCATAACTAGAACACTGCCCAGGATGGATTTGTCATAAAATGTGTGTTGTTTTCCGTGTGTGTGTGTGTGTGTGTGTGTGTGTGTGTGTATTCACATATGCATCCATATATATAGTTCATTACATGGCTCTTCCACCCTTCAAAATAGGGAACACTAACGACATAGTGAGTAGGGAGTTGGGCTGCCAACCAAGACATGGACTTTGAATCCACCAGCTGTTCCAAAGGTCAAAGACCAGTAATCATCCATGTGATTTGCAATCTCTGAAAACTTGTTGAAGGTCCAGCTATGAGTCAGTTCTGATTTGAAGACAGAGCATACCTCATATTGGAGGCATAAGTATAAAGTGGGTATTATTACTTCATTTTGATATGAAACATCCGAGACAGGTATATGCTACTGTAGGGTTTTGCATGCTTTGTTGCCTAATTATTTGATTGTGTTTATCTTCTCAAAACCTCAGATTTCCCATCTTCTGAAAAATGTTAATGATATTTTACAGGTAGTTTCTAGGTATTAGATGAAAAATATGCAGTAAATTATAGCTGTGTCACATTGGGAGCCTCTATCACATTAGTGACCTAGTGGGTGAGGAATTGTGCTGCTAACTCAAAAGTCATTCGAATCCACTAGATACTCCACAAAAGAAGGGTAGGCTGTAAGCCATGAGGTCAGCTGTAATTCAATTCAAGTCAAAGGCAGTGAGTAAGTTGTAGTATATTGTCACTATGTATTTAAATGTCACTGTGTCAAAAAATATGTAAGTATTCAAGTCACTCTTCTGAGGCCCCTGGACCTTGATTTATGGTAAGTATTTTACTGTGGTAAAGTAACCCTCCCAGCATCTCCATAGTTGTTCCCAGCCCCCACGGAAAATATTAGTAATAGGACGTTTTATATTTATCTATAAACAAATCCTTTTTTTAATTTGTATTGCTGATCCACTTTCCCCACAAAATATTAATCTATTTTCATCTTTATTGATCCTTGATTGATCACCATATTATTCTTTTCTATAACATAAATATGCTTAAATTGATTTTTTCTTTTCTGTGATGATACATCTTAAGTATTAAAGTTTTCTTCTGACAATTCTAATAATGCCCAAAGCAACAATAATTATTTCTCTAAAAATATTATAGCAAGCCCAAAATGATAAGGATCATTAGAGACAAAATGAGACTAAACTTAGAAACTGTCATTTATGGCACAAATAGGTTTGTAAATATAGCCAGAAATGCACAAACAGGAGAAGGCAGAATTAAAGTATGAGTTCCTCAGATGAGCAGAATTCAAGATATGGAGCACAGAAACAGCAAAATGGAAGATATAGATCTCAGCACTAACCTTCTAAAACAGCAGAATCAAAAAGGAAGGAAAATGAAGAGAGCCTAAGGGTAATGTGGGACACTTTGAAGAAGTGTAACATGAGAATAACGGGATAACTGGAATCTCAGAACAAGAAGAAGGTTGGGGTAGAGAGGCACCAAGAAAATTGTAGAAGAGTTATTTTAGAGAAAACTTTACAGGTGTAAGAAGAGAATATATACCTTAGAGAAGCTGAGCGAACCACATATGGAATAGACTCCAAAAGGAAAACACCCAAGTATATCGTAATCAAACTTGCCAGAACCAATGATAAAGAGAGAATTCTGAAAACAGCTAGAGAAGAACCTGTAAAGAAGAGCAAATAAAGTTGAGTGCTGATTTCTTAGCAATAACGAGTGGAATGACATATGTCAAACACTCAAAATAACACAACTATCAACCAAGAATCCTGTATCTAGCAAAACTGTCCATCATTCAGATGGCAAACAAACACATGAAGAAATGTTCAAAATCCCTAGCTTTAAGAGAGATGCAAATCCAAACAACTATGAAATATCATCTCACCCCAGTAAGAATGGCAAAATTTAACAGAATAGCAAGCAACAAATGCTGGCAAGGTTGGGGAGAAACTGGAACCCTTATTCACTGTTGGTGGGAGTGTAAAATGGTGCAACCACTATGGAAGGCTGCATGGCTCTTTCTCAAAAAGTCACAAATAGAAAAACAATTTGACCCAGCAATTCCACTATTGGCAATTTACCTAAAGAAACTGTAACTGCCAGCCAAACAGATATATGCACACCCTTGTTTATTGCGGCAATGTTCACAATAGCAAAGAGCTGGAAACAACTCAAGTGTCCATCAACAAATGAATGGATAGAGAAGCTCTGGTATATGCACAAAATGGAATACTATGCAGCATTGAAAAACAAGGAACTCATGAAATATTATGCAAAATGGATGACCTTGGAGGACATTATGCTGAGTGAAATATCTCAGTCACAAAAGAACAAATATTGCATAGGGCCACTGTTATAAAACAGGACTGACATCAGTGTTGAGGGAAGACAAAAGGAGAAGAGAAACGATGTATATTGCATTGAAACAGATTAGGGAGAGAACTGTTTAAAAGGCATATATGAATGGGTATTCTTGTCAGGACTCATAGTGGAGTGGATGGAGTGGACTTGGGGGGAGGGATTGCATAACAATAAAAGAGTTTTTCTTTCTTTTCAAGGAGAGGAGTGAACTGGGGGAGATGGGGTGGGTAGGGAGAAAAGTACAACAATGAATAACTGGAAACCCTAAGTCTCTGTAAACTTTCATTAAAATTATTTTTAAAAAAGAAATGTATCTGAAAAAAATATATGATGAAGAGAGCAAGATCTTTTTAGAAAAGTAGAAGCTAAGAGAGTCTGTAAAAACAAGACCTGTGTTTCAGGAAACACTGGAGGAAGTCCCTCTCACAGAGATGTCACAGAAAGAAGGATTGATCAAAATTATCAGCAACAACACCAAAAATAACTCAACAAAATTATATCAATAAGCCTTCCCTCACCATAATTACATTGAATGTGAATGGTTTCAATGCACCAGTGAAGAGAAAAGGAGGAGCAGACTGGATAAAGAAATGAAACCCATCAATATGCTGTCCACAAGTGATACATCTGAAAAGTGAAGATAAAGAAAAACTAAAAATAAAGTTGGGGGAAAATATACCACACAAATGGCAACCAGAATAAAGCAGGAATAGCAATAATAATCTCTGATAAAATGGATTTCAGTGTAAAAACCATCACAAAGATGAGGAAGGCCTAATATATATAAAGAATAGAATAGAATAGAATAGAATAGAATAGAATAGAATAGAATAGAATAGAATAGAATAGAATATATAATGAATGCAATACAATGAATGCAATACAATGAATATAATACTATACTATATTATACTATACTATACTATACTATACTATACTATACTATACTATACTATACTATACTATATATCATTCTTAAAGGGAAACAGAACAAGAGCACATAACTATAATGAATATCTATACACTGAATGATTGTTGCTGTTGTTGTTAAGTGTCATCTAGTTGCTTGTGACTCATAGCAACTCTATGGACAAGAGCCCTAAACCTTGCTCTACCCTGTGCCAACCTCACTGTCTCTGACACACTTACTCCCATTACTTCTATCACTGAATGAATCCATCTCATTGAGGGTCTTCCTTTCCTATGCTGTCCCTCCACCCTCTCAAAAATGATGTCCCTCTCCAAGGAATGGTCCTTCTTTGCAATATGCCCTAAGTATGTCAGATGAA